AGTGAACCACGCTTCCCTTACCTTTGGAATAAATTGCATCTTAAACTTGAAACTCTTGGATTGTTCCAAAAGGTCTCCCTCAATGACGGTGAAAGTGATGCAATTGTTCTCTTCGTCAACTTTTTCCACTTTCTCATTTACTGCTTTAGTTCCCATCGAAACCTTGTTCGAGTTTTGAAATGTTTATAAAAAGTCAAGAGTTCAAGATTATGTAATGACTTAACCTAAATAAATTATAAATCGTGAGGTTATTTTCAAGGATCGAGCCAATTTTGCCCCATTTGTCCTCATGTAGGTCAACCCCGTGTATTATGTCCGTGGAGACATCGGAGATATGATGAGGCCTCTCATGAAATATTTCCTTAAACTTTAAAGCTAAAGCTCAGATTTCTACATCCGTTTCCACCCTTTCAAAGAGACACATATGAATGTTATGGTTTTTATAGTAATAGATCCCATTAATTAGGTCATTGTGAATTATGTGATCAATAATATTTTAAATTATTTCTAAATAAACATTAGCATATTTGTTTTTCAAAACTAATTATGAATATGTGATTCAAACTATTTTTAAATAAGAATATTTTGATGACCCAAAAAATTCGATCAATACTACTTAAATTCTACGTGAAACAGCCCAAGCCTATTGGTAATAAATATTGTTCGTTTAAGCTCATTATGTATCGTCGTCAGCCTCACAATTTTAATACACGTTTGTTAGGGAGAGATTTTTACACCCTTACAAAAAAAAAAAGTTTCGTTCTCCTCTCCAACCGATATGGGATCTCATTCATACTATTTTTTCTTTTCACATAGAACATGAGCTACATGGTATGAGACAAATGCATACATAGAACAGGCTACATCATGGCATAATATGTTTATTTAAGTATAAAATTAAGATTAGCAACATAGTAATAGCCCATTATTATTCCATAACATAGTAATAGCACAATCACCCAAGAGCTATGAGTGGAGATAGAGACGTTGCTCATGCTTTAGCAGCTATACACGAACCCTCGTTATCATATCCCATGAGGTGAGCATCAATGTCTTTGGCGGTATCAACACAAAGCTGAAGAAAAGTATGTGAATCTGGAATTTGTTCATGCAGCTTCTCATATTCCAAAGTAATGTGAATCACACTTCCCTTATCCTTTGGGATACATTGGACTTTAATTCTGAAATTCTTGTAGTGCTTTGAAAGGTCTCCTTCTATCTCTTTCCACGTTAATGAATTGTTCTCCTCATCCACAGCTTCTATTACCCTCTTTGACACACAAGCCTTCCCTTCTATTACTCAAATAAGAAAGGTTAAATTATAAATTAGGTTCATGGTAACCTTTTAAAAAGTATTAAATAGATTTGTCTCGAGTAGATAACAAAATTTAGAGTTAGATAACGAGCGATTGGATTTGGTTTAATAAACTTATTTTTTAACTATTGGTTTCTCAATCTCACAATCCACTCTTTTCTGGAGTTAGTATTCTCGCTGGCACACTAATTGATGTATAGCTCTAATACCAACTCTAATACTCTAAGCACAATGCTAATAGATATTGTCCGTTTTAGCTCGTTACGTATTGCCGTCAGCCACACTGTTTTAAAATGCGTCTAATAGGGAGAGGTTTTCACACCCTTATAAGGAATGTTTCGTTCCACTCTCCAACTGGTTGACATGGGATTTGAGAGCCCATTCTTTAAAGACAAAAGTGTACTTTCTGACCAAATTTTACAAAAAAATAATAATAATAATAATAATAACCTAAGGTTGAAATAATGTTTTATAAGCTTAAAAGATAACTAAACCAGAAATAAAACGAGGATAAAAAAAAACTTTAAATATTAAGATTAAAAAAATGAGAACTTAAAAAAAAAAAAAAAAAAAACCATGAACGTAGTGCCAATAGAGGATACTGCCGACTTTTCCCCATTCGCCTTCATGTAACTCAACGCCTTGTATTTTATCTGAAGAGGCTTTGGATATATGGTGAGGTTTTTGATGAATTAGTTCATGAAACTTTTCGGCTAAAGCCTTAATTTCTACATCAGTCTCCAACTTTCCATAGAGAGCCATTGAGTTGAGTTACTTGGAAGAACAAGTTGACAACTAAGATAAAAGATAGAAGGTTCCTCCTCTATTAAGCTCAATTTAAAGAGAGGGCTTAGTCTCACACACATGATGCAATAATAAGGCTAGTCTCAAAGATATTGGTATAATTTAATCTTATCATTATTATTCTACAATAATACTTATTTGATTACGTGGGTATGATTGTTATGATGTAATAAAACAACCACTAGGCTTAATTAAAGCAAGGGTTAGGTTATACATTTTAATTCAAACTTTCTATTTTCTAATGTTCATACATAATTCTCTCTTAATTTTGCATTATGAAGTTAAACCATTATTTTTAGTGATAGAATGTTAGCTTGTTTGACTTTGAAGATTGACAAACCCATAAATTAAATTATTAGAGTATTTGAGATGCTGAGTGTCATAGTCATGTTCGTCCAGCGCATATTGTCAAGCATGCTCATGTCAGGCCAAAATCTTTATATGTTTTCATGTTGTATTAGATTAGTATTTTATTTTTTGTTTGTATAACTATTTTTTTTTGTTTGTAATACTTGTCTTCTAGACCTAAACCGTCCCAAAATGTATTATAGGGGATGCAATCAGTTGTTAATTCCTCCCACCTAGATTTTGTATGACCGTTCGATTAAGTACATATAAGCCTGCCAGACTTGAATCGCCCCAAAATGTATTATAGGTAGATGTGACTAGTTGTCAAATTCTCATGCCTAAGTTATATGATATTTAAATTGTGATTTTTTTTTCTTTTTTTTCTTATAGTCCGACTTTCAAGTTGTTTTCAAACTCTCTTTCAATAATCTCTTTGCTAACTTATACCAAGCACAAACAAAAAAATCTCATTTTGAAAAATGGTCCAATCTTGTAATAAAAAATATAAATTAGTTCTATTTATGAATGGATCATTATTTGACGTAATTACGCATGTCCTTTATTTATTTTCAAATAAATAAAGCTACCATTGTTCTATAATGTAACAAATCCCACCTCGTCAATAATGTATCCTAATCAATTTGGTTACATCTTAAAAGGGTTGTGGAGCATAAGAACGATATTAAAGAAAAATAAAGGTACTCGTTCTTTCTCTTAATTACTTCTAGTGTTCATACATGATTTTCATTGACTTTTAGTTTGATGTTCTATGTTCGTATTCTTAGTTTAAAGTCTCAAAATATTCCATCGGTCTTCAATTTTCAAGATTTGTAGAGAATCTTTGATCTCGAAGAGTTTCAGAGAAATTTTCGAGATCTCAATTTTTTTCGATCCTCTCCTATGAAAGAAATCTCATCTAATTAAGAGTCTTGATGGCTTTTGGGTCTAAGCACTCTATGCTTGTATTTGAATTTAGTCTTCGACCCTATGCCCTTTAAATTTGAATTTTGAGTCGAATATATTTCGAGTTCATTTGATTTCTTACTCCCAATTTATATATGTGTGAGAATCCCAATATTGGTTGTGGAGGAAAACCATAAGAGTGCAGAAACCTTTCCCTAGCATAGGCATTTTAAGCCTTGAGAAGAAGCTGGTAAGTGAAAGTCCAAAGACGACAATTATATAGGAACTTTTTGAAAAGTGTTTTTTACTACTCTCTAAATAATGAAACGAGCACAGTCCTTTTAATCTGCTGCTTATTTTTCTGCATGACCATGTCGAGTGAAGGCTATCCCTATAGACCAACAAAGGTCCATTCAGCATGCTTTGTCTTCACTCGAGTTCACCCAATTTATGGACTGGTTGTAGCATTAGCACTTTTATTTGCGAATCCTTTTGTTTAATCCTAAAAAAATTACGTATTTTTTTCGTATTTTATTTACTTGGACTTGCTGCTCTTGCTTTTTCAAATTATATGCTCAAGTTATATGAAGCTTTCACTCCTACAATTACTTATTCATTGGGACAATAACCTATGAGAAGGATTGATTTGAAGATGAGGCATTAGCATACTGACTCGCCTTCTTCCTTCCTTTTTTTAGTCCAATCTCGAATGGAACTTTTTTTTAGGATTGTTACAACATACTTTTTACTTTATCTCGAAACGAAATAGGAAATTAATAAAAAAAAAATCGAAAGAAATAGATAATTAGTTTAAAAGGTACACTTTCTTTACTCGGGTATCTCACAAACAAAGAAGTTATGATACATTTTAAGAGGAAGTACATTATGCTATGAGAGAAACGACTAAATTAGGATGAATGAACGGAGAGGAGCTCAATTATGAGGAAGTATTCGCCTGAAAAGCTAGAACCCTAAGACGAGAGTGAATAAATTAATAGAACCTAGATACTAGTTTTGAGAAGCCTATGATTTCGATAAATGGTATTTAATTACAAAATAAAACGTAATAACAATATAAGATACCTGAATAACATGAGACTTAATAATGAATTAAGAGCCTATAAGTAAGCTACTCATTCATGCATGAGCTGTATGGTTGAAATGAATGCATACACGAGCACGATTTATACCTCTTCATACTTTGATATATACTAATTAATTTTCAAAGCATCATGTATGTGAATTTTTATTAAAATGTTTCGACTCGAGTTTAATGAAATGCATAATTGTAACCGTCCAAGTCCACCACTAGCAAATATTGTCCGCTTTTGTTCATTACGTATCACTGTCAACTTCACGATTTCAAAACGCATTTGTTAGGGAGAGGTTTCCTCACCCTTATAAGGAATGTTTCATTCTCCTCTCCAACATATATATAAGATCTCATAATAATTTTAAATTATTGAAATTAATAAGTCAATATTTTTCTACGTCAATAGTAACAATCAATGAAAGATCTTGAAAAACTTATAGTTACACAGCTACTCGTCCAACAAAAACGCATACTCAAAAATAGTATGCAATGTTAACAATTATTACACCAACACATATTTTAAAAACTTTATTGCCATTTTATTAGAAGCATACAAAGATTTAGACTATAATATTTCACAACAAACATCTCCCACTAAAGATGCCATAAAACATGCTAAATCACAGTATACTATATGTATTAACGAGCATTATTTAAGTATAAAATACTAATTAGCAACATAGTATAATTGCCAATTATTATTCCATAACATAGTAATAGCACCACCCAAGAGCTATGGGTGTTGATAGAGACTTGTTGCTCATGCCTTAGCACTTATACGCGAACCATTATTGTATCCCATAAGGTAAGCATCAATGTCTTTGGCGGTATCAGCACAAAGCTGCAGAAAACTATGAGCATCTGGAATTCCTTCATGCAGCTTCTCATAATCCAAAGTAATGTGAGCAACACTTCCCTTATCCTTCGGGGTACATTGGATTATAAATCTCAAGCTCTTGAAGTGCTTTAAAATGTCCCCCTCTATCTCTTTCCACGTTAATGAATTGTTCTCCTCGTCCACAGCTTCTATTACCCTCTTTGACACACAAGGCTTCCCTTCTATTAATCAAATAAAAATGGTTAAATTATGAGTTAGGTTTGTTAGCTTTTACGTTTGTGTTTATGATATGTTCATGATACAAAATTTAGAGTTCGAGAATTAATTAGACCTAGTTTTTTAATAAACTTGTTTTTATTCTTTAAAATTACATAAATATTGTTCTTTTAGAGGATTTCAAGATTTTAAAATGCCTCCACTGCGGAGAGGTTTTCACACTGATGTGGGATCTTACAATTCACTTTTCTTGGAGGACCAACGTCCTCACTAGCACACCGTCTGGTGACTCGCTCTGATACAAACGATAATAGCCCAAGCCCACCATTTTAAAATGCGTCTACTAGAGAGAGATTTCCATATCCTTATAAAGAATGTTTAGTTTCCCTCTCCAACCGATGTGGGATCTCACAATTCACTCTCTTTTGAGGCCCAGTGTCACGGTCATGCTTGTAAAAGGCGATTGTGACACACAACGTACTCACTTGCACACTATCTGGTGTCTGGCTTTGATATCAATGGTAATAGCCCAAGCTCACCACTAGCAGATAATGTCTGCTTTGGCACATTATGTATCGCCGTCAGTCTCACGATTTTAAAACATATCTACTATAGGGAGGTTTCCACACCCTTCTAAATAATGTTTAGTTTCCCTCCCAACAAATGTGGAATCTCACCACACATTCTTCTTTAAAGACATAAGTGTACTTTCCGACTAAATTTAAAAAAAAAAATAAATAAATAAAAATAAAAACTAAGAGTAGAAATAATGTTTTATAAGCTTACATTAAGTAAAAAACATTTAACTAGAAACAAATCAATGATCAAAAGAAATTCAAATATTTTAAAATTACGAAGGGAAGGATTAAAATTACTCATAAAAGATAAAAAAGTGAGAACTTCAAACATATCAAATATAGATGAACAAACCAAAAAAGTAGTGCCAATGGAGGATACTGCCAACTTTGCCCCATTCGCCTTCATATAACTCGCAACTTTTTACTTTATCTGGACAGATATTGGAAAGATGATGAGGCGTTTTATGAATTATTTCATGAAACTTTTCCGCTGAAGCCTTCATTTCTACGTCAGTCTCCAACTTTCCATAGAGAGCCATTCAGTTGAGTTACTTGGAAGAACGAAGTTACAAAAATAAAAGATAGATATTGCTACAATTCTCTCCTCCATTGCACTTTATTTAAAGGCAAGGCTTACTCTCACACATCATGTAATAGTGGATCCCATTGAGTATTGGATTTTACATTTTTATTCCCCATCTTTTAATTCTCTCTCTTTTTTGTATGAATTTAGAGGAAGTTAAAAGGTGAGGTACCTAATTGAATTCAATCTTTTTTGTATGAATTTAGAGGAAGTTAAAAGGTGAGGTACCTAATTGAATTCAAACTACACCTGAATGAGAGTGATTTTGAAATTCCGATTACTAATAAAAACTTAAAAGAATTGAAAGTTATTACTTATACCAACAATTTGCACCTTACTTCTTAGTTGCTCAATTCTAGGAATTTCATAAACATGTTTTGTTTTGAGTAATTTTATGTTGGACTACTTTTTGGGAATTTTTCATTTTCCTAACATGCATGTGAGTGAAGACAAAATATGATAAAATGACTCATGTTGGTCTATGGGGATTGTCTTTACTCTTAGAAGCAAGGAGTAAGTAGAATAACTATGTTGCAAAGGATGCAGGAGAATGTCGGATCCATCAGGTGTCGAATTTGGATTTCACTTTTTCTCGTTGTTCTTATGCTATAATACTACTTTGGTTACGTGGGTATGAATAATAATATGATATAATTAAACAACCACTATAAAACTTAATTAAGGCTAGGGTTATACATTATTATTTCAAACTTGAGCTTAGACGTTGAGATTTGAAAGTGATTTTCTTTTTTAAATAGTAGTAACAGCACCACCCTAGCAATGGGTTGAGAGAAAGACTTGTTGCTCATGCGTAAGCACTTACAAATGAACCTTCATTATTGTCTCCCATGAGGTAAGCATCAATGTCTTTGGCGATATCAACAATGTCTTTGTTGATATCAATAAATGGTCTCCCTCTAACTCAATCCAAGTGAATGAATTGTTCTCCTCATTAACATCTTCAATTAGGTTCTTTGCCAAACAAGCCTTCCCTTCTATACCGGTTTAATCCACAAAACATTCGTTTAAATATAACATAAATGCAATATTGATTAAAAAAAAAGGCACATGAATGAACCAAATCTACCTCAAAATGAAAGGGGTTCTGAGAATAGGATGACTAAGAAATTAGACTTAAATGAAATGAAAGTTACTACTTATATCAATAAGGTGCACATTCCTTTTCGGTGCCTCGATCATAGGAGCTCCATAGTTGAGCGTGTTTTATTTAAAGTAATTTTATATTGAGTGACCTCTTGAAAATTTTTGTGAGATGCATGTAAATGAGGACAAAATATGTTAAAAGGACTCGTATTGATTTGTGAGGATAATTTTTATTCTTAGAAGAGAGAAGTAAGTAACATGACAATGTCGCAGGAGAATATCGGAATCATCAGGTGCGGAATATAAATTTCGAATCCTGATTTGAATCCTGACATATGGGTTGTTAGTTTAAACTGGTAGGTTTTTGTCTATTTAGTTCTTCAACTTTTACAATTATCTAATATTTTCAAATTTTTGTTTATTTCATATCCAATTGATTCTTAATCTTTAAAACAATCTTTAATATTCCATCCATATTTGAATGCTCTTAACTATTTTTTTCTTTTTTCTTTTTTTTTTATATAAAATTCACGGTTTAGCTACAAGCACAAAATTGAAAATTCAAAAATCGATTAAACCCGGTTTAATAATCTTTTTCCATTTTTAAAAATTATACTTCGTTTCTCACCATTTTTGGGTGACCTTCTCATATGTTTTAAAAATACAAATATGCTTTTAGACCAAATGTCTAACAAAATAGAGATTTTGAAAGGCAAGTTTTTTAAATATAGGTAAGAGTTAAATTAAAAGAACAGAAGAGTAAAGATAGTGTTTATAAGTTTACATTTTAAAAAAACATAAAACATAAACCATTTCCTACTTTAAGGGAAATTAAAAAAAATTAGAAATTTATTAGACAATTTTAAAAATTCATAAAATGATACACACAAATTTAAAGATCATAATAAGAAAATTATAATGTACCTGATAAAAGATAAAAATGACTAGCTTTGAATTGATCAAATATAAATAAACAAACCATGAACGTAGTTAAAATAAATGATGGGACGACCAACTTTTTGCTCCAGCCTTCCTATAACTTGCAACTTTGTAATTTATCTGAAGAGATATAGAATATATGGCGAAGTTTTTTTGATGAATTATGTTAGGAAACTTTTCAACTCAAGCCTTAATTTCTATAAAGCTACCAAACTTCCCTCCTCTCTTACCCTTTATTTAAAGGTAAGGCTTACTCTCATACATTATATAACAATGGATGAGATTCATGGTTTAATATGTGATATGTTATGTTTATGCTATAATATACATGATGTCGTGTTATATGTCATGTTATGTCATGTTTTGATGATATGTGACTTTATGCATTTTATATGTCATGAGCATCGAGATATTTTCTCGTTATAATTAGTACGGATATGTACGTTACGATATTTATGTTGCCATGAACTATGTGGACCCTTTCCCTTCGTGGCATCTGACAACGTGAGTATGCACTAGTCTAACCAGCCAAGCTCATGGCATACGTATACGATTATGCCTGGTGGGTTCATGCATGCATGCGTGGACCATGTGTAGAGAAGTATTATACATCCAACCTTGTTCAGACTAGAAAGCAGAGCTCAAGACCAGGATGTTCTTATACAAAGATACGTCTCACCATCATTGCTTGTGTTTGCATTTTTCAACCTCAATAGTAGAGCTATTTACTCAGTATTTTTAGAGCTATTTACTCAATATTTTTAAATACTTAAGCTACGTGTTACTTTTTATTAGGTAAAGGTAAGACGCCCATGTACAATGACAATACCGATAGGAAGACTATAGAAGCGAAACTAGAATAGTTGCATTTATATTTGGTGTAGTAGCTATCAGATTAAATCCAGACTTTTACATTATCTTATTTAAATTTATGCATTTACTACATCAACCTCTTGAAATATAAATATAAATTAGTTTTATTTATGAATGGACCATTATTTTCAAAATGACTTTATTTTTTCATAATAATGCATGTCTTTTATTTATTTTCAAATAAATAAACCTACCCATTGTTCTAATAATGTAACAAATCCCACCTCATCAAAATAATGTGTCCTAATCAATTTGGTCCTCATTCTTGCTACGTTGTTCTTGTATGTTGGATCTATCTTTGACTTGTTGGTCTTGTACGTCGATCGCATTTAGATTTGGGTATTAATGAAAATCTTGACCGCTTTTACGTATTTTTAAATAAGTTACTTGTCTGATCTCACATCGGTTGGAGATGTGAAACGAAATATTCTTTATAAGTATGCAGAAACCTATTACTGGCAAATGCATTTTAGAAATGTTGAGGGAAAACTCGAAAAGAAAAGTTCAAAGAGGACAATATCTGCTAGCGGTGGACTTGAGCTATTATAAATAGTATCAGAGCTAGATACCGAGTAATGTGCCGGCAAGAACAATTTATTTTCAACTCTAATTTTTATATCACGTACCAAATATAATGCATCTAATATGATATAATAATTTTGGAAATAGATGTAAATTATTATGTTGGATGGATGAATAATTAAACATACCCATCATCATTTTCAAAACATTCTTTTATTATTATTTTTAAATAACTTTTTTTCAGTATAATCTATATAATTATGTGTGAATAATTCACTATTATAAACAATAAGATCCCTAATCATATCTCATATTATGATATTTAAAATTTTGTTTTTTATATTAAATCTCGAGTTTCGTACTTGTTGAAGCTGAAATGCCTTTTGGTTCTCCCAGACAAGACGCTTCGTTTTTTGAACCCAATTTAATAACAAAAGTCGAAAAACAAATGAAAAAAAGAACAACGAAGTGCTTCCTTTACTTCTCATGGAGTTGTAGTAATCTGACTAAAAACTTTTGCACATTTGAATATATAAGACAAAATGTAAAAGAACCTTGATTTGTGAGAGAATAAGTTCGATTTGTTCAAAACCAAACATTAAGCGTTACAATGGAATTATGGGATGTGACAGTATGAGATCCCACATCGGTTGGAGAGAGAATCGAAACATTTCTTATATGGGCGTGGAAACCTCTCTCTAGCAAGCGCGTTTTAAAACTGTGATTGATGGCGATACGTAATGAGCCAAAGTAAACAATATCTGCTAGCAGTGGACTTAGGCCGTTATTGTCCTCTTTGGATTTTCCATCAAGACTTTAGAATGCGTCTGCTAGGTAGAGGTTTCCACACAGGTGTTTCGTCATCCTCCTCAACCGATGTGGAATATCACGGTATCAAAGCTAGACACTGGGGGTGGATTGTAAGGGTGTGGAACCCCAGGGGAATGGATTGTAAGGAGATGGAAACCATGGAAACCTTTTCTTATCGAACACATTTTAAAATTGAGACTGACAACAATACGTAACCAGTCCAACGAAGAATTGTTAGTATTTTTTTTCATTTAAATAACTATTAATTGTACATCTTATTCAAAAAGTCGACAAGAATCGTGATTGAATTATTTTAGTCCAAAGTGTATCTTGGGAGTGTTTCATTGTGGTTGGGCATGAAATTTTTTTTAATCTACACCATTTGTTATTGATTTATTCTATATACGGTAAATCTAACCTATTCAAAAAAAATTATTGAAGGTTGAAATAATTAAAAACATTCTTTGATTTAATTCACAATGACATAATGAAATAAGAGTAAAGCCCTCACTATAAATGAGTACGAGAAGAGTCATGTTTGGGCAGTGCCTTAGCTTCCTTGGCTTAGATCTCCTTCTAATCACTCATAATCCAAAATCAAAGCACCATGGGTCGTTTTGGAAAGCTTGAAACTGATGTACATATCAGAGCTTCTGCTTCAAAGTTCCATGAATTATTTAGCGAAAGAATTCATCATATCTCCAACGCCTCTACCGACAAAGTGCACGGAGTCGACCTACTCGAAGGCGAATGGGGCAAAGTCGGCTCCATCGTCTGCTGGAGATATTTTCATGGTTTATCATTTTTTTAAAACTTTTTTGACCATTTTGTTTTAAG